GTGTAGGCGTCCACAATCCCTATCTCATCAACGTTACCATCGCGCTCTGTATCTTTGCTGGCACCATACCTGGACCTTTAACTCCCGAATATTGCGGCAGGCGACTCTCGTTGTTGATCGGCTATATGTGTATGGGAAGTTTTATGTTAATCTTCTCGTCGGTGAGCACCGGCTTGGGGGCCGACAATTCTGTTGCAAAGAATGTCGTGGTGGTATTCTTGTGCTTGTGGGCATTTACGTTTGGAGCCTTTATCGGGCCCAATGTTTGGCTGTCTTCCGCTGAAATGCATAGTGTTTCTCTTCGAACCTATGGCCAAGCCAGCACGACCGCGGTTTTCAACATATTCAACTTTGGAGCTACATTTTGGACGCCATATATGTTGAACCCTGCTTATGGAAACATGGGAGTCAATGTTGGGTACTTCTATTTCGGAGTAACCTTCGTGATAACCCTGCTTATTTTCTGGTTTGTTCCTGAGACTGCAAGATTGACTCTGGAACAAGTGGACGACTACTTTGCAACGGCTCGTCCAGCTTGGAAGACTTCCTTGCCTGGGAACAAGCAACTGGCTACTGCTGTTCCCCTGGAGGTGGTTGTACGTGAATGATAAAAAGAGGAAATAGCAAGACTACCCGAGATGTCTTGAGCTTCTGTAATCTAGCTCAAATTTCATAGCCTTGATGTAGGCCGGGCGAGGCTCGGGTCTGACCCCCTCTCGACCTGGCTAGCTGGTTTTAATTTATCTCTTGGTAGTTATCGACTTAGCACTAAACTCTTCCAACATGCACAGTATCATCTCAACATACAATTTCTTGAAAGGTCCAAGTTCTCGGCTAATGTACTCTCAGGATAGGTATCGCCGCGAGCTCTCCCCCGTACCTTGAATATCATTGCTGATATCCACAATCTGAAATTTAGTTGACATAACATTCATCCGAGGTCTCTTTCTCCATTTGCTTGGCCTATTAACCTTTCCAGAGGATGCAATTTAAGTCTCGATGAACGATCTAAACAGTTTAAACTCTTTCAACCCGGTCCAGGTTTCCCTTGCGAAATGTCTTGTAACCGAGGTTAAGTGCTTGGGTACAACTTGGAACTGCACTCCAGTGCGACGGTTGTTAAAACTTTCGTTTACGATATATATTGTGCTGCGAAGGATAGAAGGTCTCCTTTGCAACCAGCCACGACAGAGGTGGGTCGACGTTTAGGTACGCTTTCGATCTTCCAGGATCATTATGTACACGGTATATCTGAATCCTTCCAAGCCTTCAATCAAGATTTTTCTCAGAGCCTGCTTTCTGTTCGCCATATTGAAGCAAAGTGAGGTGGCCGACACAGAGGCGATGAGTAGAAAAGGAGTTATAAAGCACATGTAGAGACCGGGACGGTAGGTGGGCGCATCTTGATCACAGAAAATCAACGATCCCATTAGCCCGCCAATAGCACCGGCACCACCAATGTCGAGGAACAGAAAGCGCGTCTCCACCGACCAACAGTATTGTCTGCCTGATAAGCCATTGTCAACGCAGCAGAACCATTGTCAGCCCCCACTACCAGAAAACAGTTGAAGTATCGGACGCCTGCAGCATGTGAGAAGCCGGGGAGCGTTATATCAATGCTCAAGACGAAGGCTTTAACGACAAGGAAGGGGCCTCGTAAGGAGAGACAGTCAGAAATATGCTTCAGTCGTCCCCAAGACTACAGAAAAGGCAGACTCCTGAGAGAATGGCTCAAAGTCAGTCCAAAGGTAAGACAGAATGAAGGAAAGGCTCAGAGGAAGTCGCCCTACAATGGTAGCGCACTGGAGTTTGAAGACATTGGGCAGCGACTGTGCTGTAGCCCAGCTCGGCCTTCAGGATGATGGCAAAGAAGTATTGTAACAAGGCAATGTGGCTGCGATGCGCTGGCATGAGGGCGGTAGGAAGGCGACTTGGCTGGTCACATGTCAGGACAAAAAGGACTATATGATTCTGGCTGTGGACGAGAAGGTTTAAGGCAGGAAGAAGTCCCTGGGCATTCAAGCAACAGACGCATAACAATAGTTACGGCAATTACAGAATGGCTGTGCTAGCATACCATTGTTGTCAGTGTGCATGACAGGCGAGAGTGCTGGCCGTGTGCCATTCTTTGCAGTTTGAACAGAGTATCCTATGGCTTTTTCGATACTGCCTACCTATTCCTGAGCATTCCTGTTGTCCCTTTTCACTCCTCAACAACGCCGCCGTGCTAGACGCTTGTTACTCTAGCCGCTGCTTCTCTGTGGGTGGTGTTGTTGGTGGTGTTGTCTTGCCAGCCCCCACCACAAAGGCATTCTCGATTTCCAACCTGCCTGACAGGCCCCAGTGCGTTGTTGCACGTGCATGCCAAATCCAGAAGTGCTCTGCTACAATATCGCTAGCGGATGTCTGATTATAAACGCAAGATGACATAGGCGTTGTTGTTCAGGTGCTGGAACAGTGAGCATCTCAAATACCCTGCAGCCGGAACGCCGTTCTGGAAGAGGACAATGACAGTGGACACGACCCAAGCCAGATGACAGCCTTCCAGATATTTCTGTTTCCTGATTATATCTCTATATTTCTAGTCATGGTAGTAATTTCTATGGGATGGTAGACGTGACTGGGATTGCCAAGAAATGAAAGCGGCACTTTGTTTGCCCAGTTGAATACTTACAAGTATTAGGAAGTGTGAGTGAGAGCCTAACCCGTTTAGGTGACACAAGAAGCCGCTCTGACACCTTGGCTTTAAAAGCGGCATGGTCGGGGAGAGCCCCAAAGGTGAGCTCCGATCTACTGGGCTCGCTGGATACTCTGCCAAGTCTAACTGCGCCAGTCCACGCCTAGAACTCGGCGAGCGTCTGCTGGCGCCACCCAACCTGCGGCGTGCTGGGGCTTGCTGGGGTCTACAAGTACAACCTCTGCTCAAGGTTCAAGGCCGCCTCTGCAGTTTGCGCCTCTTGTCACCTGCCGCTCTCGTCACGATTGTTTTCATTTCATCTCTCCTAAAAATTTCGCCCTCGTCTCGTCCGAGTCCAAATCACCGTTCCGCTCTTCCTTCCCCCCTTCTTCTCCTGCAAGTGGTTATTCTCTCAAGTCGTGAGGCGTGTCTTTCAAACAAGATCTTGTGAGCGAAAGGCGTGGCACCTCTACTTACTGTTCCCTTTTGTGCACGATAAAGATGGCAGAACCCGACGATGTCGAAGAAGACCTCTTCGCAGATCTGTAAGTTTCTTCTCTTCCTTGCCTCATCTCTTCTCGAAATCTGCCGTTGTGCCGTTGTGTTCGTTGAGATTCCCGCAGCGCCTAATATGACCTTCCCAGCTACGAAGCGGATGAGAACCACGCCCCCAAAAAGACTGCAGTTTCTGCTACCGCACAACCAGCCTCGAGCGACACAGTAATGAAAACAAGCGAGACACCAGGCTACGGTGAAGAACCAGAGGTCGCCTTCGACCCTACTTCCTTCGATACAGAACCTCAGGGCCAGGATGAACCCACCAATGGCACTCATAGTCCAAAGCAAGCTCAAGAAATGCAAGAGAAGCCGCCGCAGCCCGAGGTCTACAATGTCAATATGAAAGAAGATGGGTGAGTATATGTACTTCTCTACGTTCTACTTGTTCCGCACTTCCCCCTATTTTTGGCTGCTCTTGTAAGTCGGTTTTGTTGTGGACACCAGTCTGTGAGAAAGTGGGAAAGAGGTGGACCATTTGCGAAGATAATGTGGAGAAGAGGAAGCTGGGTCGTTCTTGACACAGTTGGCCGTGGCAGTCACCAGCACTGGGTGACGCAAAGGTGTGCATGGTCTGAGAACTTTGCAAACACGCGAATTGAAGATGCTATACCGTTCATGGATAAAAGACAACAAAGGAGGTCGATCGTGGCTGGAATGGATGGCTCTCATACATTTCTATTACGAACAACGGATCGGGTCTGCGATTGGTCAAGCAGCCTGTTACAACGGGCTACAGGCCTTGCAATTTTCAGGACAGGCTCGGATGAATTGCTGGCATCTGCTCCACCTCAGTTGGCTATCAAGTCGTGCTTGGACAGCTGCAGTTCGAGGCCCATCGGTCTGATTAGGGAATGGGAAGCCTCTCCAAATATTGAGCCGTGCGTCAGTGGCTGGTTACGTGGTGCATCAAACTAGCCGAGTCGATCTCATTGCCGAAAAAGTGGTCATTCAGCGAAGCCAGAATAGTGGGCAAGAAACTACTCCCGTACAACAAGATACTTTTCCAGGCAGAGCAGAGTAACAAAGTCCAAACCAGGCAGGAGATAGATGCTATGGAGTATCTGCTGAATCTCAAAGAGCCAACAAACCTTTGCCTCTGTCCGCTAGAAGAAGTCGACTGCTTGCGCATATGGGGAAGAAAACGAGCGACCCAGAGGACCGACATCCTGTTACATCGTGTATGGGAATGGCCGCGTCCAACGAAAGGCGCGGCTCTCCTGCAAGGCTGCAAGGCTGCAAGGCTGCAAGCCGCTCAAGTGCTGAAGACTGAAGACCAGGGCTGGGAAGGTGTTGGTCAGGACGATATTGGACTCGGACCGTGTCTGCTTCCTACAGGCGGCAAATTCATACGAATAGTCTTGGCCTCTATCCCACTCAGTCTGCAGTCTGTATTGAAGTTGACGGTGGACGCCCGCGATCATTACTCTACTGCAACAAGCCGCCATCACGATTGCCCACAACAAAGAAAACTCGCACACCATGGAATGTACATCTAGAGCATGTCTTGCACGGTTGAATTTCCTCTTCTCCCAATTTGGCGGAGCTGGCCTGCGAGTCCTCTACTATTGAGGAACGGAATAAAACTCATCTCGCTTGAGACGAGGCTGTTATTTCAAGGATTGGAGAGCCACCACCTGCCAACGAACTTTTCACGCCTCGACTTATCACCCAGTCTTTTGTTCTCATCTCCCCGTACCGCATCGTCGTCTTCATTCTGTTTGTTTGATTTGCTTTCCATAGCTAACATAGCGATGTCTACAGAAAAATGTTCATAGGGGGACTTAACTGGGAAACAACCGATCGTAAGAATCGTCCCAGCGCATCTCCCTGAATCAGAAATCTATCTGTCGCTGCATTAAGGCATCCGGGCACCGTACTAACCTCCATTGACAGAATCACTTCATGATTACTTCTCACAATTCGGCGAAGTTCAAGAATGCACCGTCATGCGAGACAGCGCCACAGGCCGCTCTCGAGGCTTTGGATTTTTGACATTCAAGGACCCCAAGACAGTTAACACCGTAATGGTTAAGGAACATTTCTTGGATGGGAAAATTGTAAGACCTACCCATTTCGATACGTCCCGGGAGACACAGGAAAAACTTGGTTCCCTTTCTCGAAAACATTTGGTCCCCCGGAAGAACGAAGGCTTACTGAGGTGTGCCCAGATCGACCCCAAGCGAGCGATCCCCCGAGACGAACAGGAAAAGACAGCCAAGATATTTGTGGGCGGAGTCAGTCAAGATGCCACCGAGGAAGATTTTGAAGGCTTTTTTGCTCAGTTTGGGCGGGTCATCGATGCCACACTCATGATGGACAAAGACACCGGCCGACCGCGAGGCTTTGGATTCGTGACCTTTGACAGTGACGCTGCCGTAGAGAAATGCCTGCAGTACCACCCGCTTGAGATTCTGGGGAAGCCTATCGAGGTCAAGCGCGCACAACCAAGAGGCAAGATGGGCGAAGATGACGATTACGGTCGTGGTCGAGGGAGAGGCAAGTTCGGACGCGACGACCGCTTTAGTACTGATACCACCCAAGCTCCACAAAACCCCCAAGCTCAAACTCCGAGCATGATGGGCGGCACCACTGGGATGACCCCTCAGATGATGGCGCAGTATTGGCAAAGAATGCAGCAATACTTCGCAATGATGCAGCAGCAGATGGCGGCCAACATGATGGGCGGCATGGGCGGCATGGGCGGCATGGGAAATATGGGCAACATGGGTATGAATCCCCAGATGCTGGCGCAAATGCAAATGCAGCAACAGATGCAGAAAATGCAAGGAGCAAATAGCCCCAATGCTCAGAACGTCGGCGGCATGCAAGGCATGACTCCTCAGATGATGCAACAGATGATGCAGATGCAACAGGGTGGGATGAACATGGGGTCAAATCGACCACCGATGGGCCCCGGCAGTATGGGAGGAGGGCCACGAGCTGGCTTTTCAGCACAAGAGCAGTTGGCATTTGAACAGCAGAAATACGAACAGCAGCAACAGGTACGTCGTCAGGGCGGGTTTCCGCAAGGTCCTCGCGGCGGCGGCTTTCAGGGCCAGGGCCAAAGCGGGCCACAGTCGTGGGAAGGAATGTACGACGACGTTCCCCAGCCAGAAGGAAATGTCGGTGGCAGAGGCTCAGCAGGGCCCGTTCGCCAACATACGCCAAAACCGCCTAAGGGTCCCGGTGGTGCCTCTCAAGTGAGCGCGGCTCCGGCCAATGCGCCCACTGGGCCCAAGAATGCCGGCAAGCCCGGAGCGAATTTCAGAGGAGGTAGAGGCCGATACCATCCATACGGAAGGTGAAGAATCTCCAATGTCGCGAATTGAATTGGGGAGGGACGCGGGACTTGGCTTCGATGGGAGTTAGGTGTGATGCATTTGCTTTTTTGAGGGCGATCTCGACACGCAAAGGGCTAGCGGACGATCAAATATTGTGTATCGACACCACAAGGAGAAATGTGGCCAAACGTTCACAAAAGTTGAAGGCAGTGGCTGCTAAGCTCTCATCGCTCAGCAAGGGACGAGTTGATGTGACATGTGCCTATGGGGAGCTGGGATGTTCAATATACCAGTAGAAAAACAAGGAAGCCCAATGCATTTTGCACCCCGACGACGATCTTGTGCTCGGATTGGGGAGACAAACAACGAGAATTCAATAGCTAGCGATGTACGGAGTCTTCTCCCCGCGAGATCGGGTATTGAGCAATTTCTCTGATCCATAGGGCTTCTCCTTGATGGAAACCTGGTCGGAAGTCTCCAACTGTACCTAGCTGTGTAGTCTCCCTAGACGAGGCTATGTGGCCGTCTTTTTTCCGGGTTACTTGGTGGCTGCGTCTATTAATAGGAACCTCACTATTTCTCCCAAGCTTCTCCTAAGTCGACGGGGAGACCCGTCAAGCCGTTCCCATTCACCTTTGAATACTCCATCCTCTCCCGCAGTACATACCTAGGTAGTTGAACATGGTCCGCGACAATGGAATGCCCCTGGATCGTCCTTATGTACTTGTATTCGCCTGGATGAAACTAGCCAAAGTCTCTTCTGATATTATTGTTGGTGCCTTGCATATTCGAATAAGATGCTGACAGGGATGGACGGCATTGCAGGTACGGGGAGCGAATGCCAGTCGAAAGGATTTCGGTGAGGCGCAGTCACGGCCCACGGGTTGTCTCGACTCTGGAGGAGCAAGGTCAAGGGAACCACAAATTGCTGCGCCTCGTCGACACCTCCCAACGTTCCATGGCTCCACTGATGTGCTGAAGGTGTTCCCCGTTTTTTGGGTCCTTTGTCCTTTTCGAGTCTTCCGGCAGTCGGTCTCCATAATGGTCCAGTGATGCGAGATGGGGAGAAACATGAGAGAGGAGCAGGAGAGTGAGGACGTTGAGACTCGCTGGCCGCTGGTCGTGAGTGCTGAGGTGCGTCTGTGAAGATTCGAAAACGCGTGCCCTATTACTCTACCCAGGTACAGTGGGTACCAGGTACGGAGGTACTGTATGCAGTACGAAGAACAGGGACAGTTAGCCGAGGGCGACGTACGAGTAAAGTCATTATTCAGTGTCATTGGAAGGCACCGCCACCACATGGGTGACATAGGCACCACAAACTGTTCACTAACAACTTAGCACGGTCCTCTCCATGCCGAACAACTCTTTCCCCAAGCTGCCCAGGTGGTATTCTGGCGGCGGTGCCACCCCCCAAGCAACCCCCCCATCCATTTAAAGGTCCAAGTAGCTACTGGCGAGCATGGCTCCAGCATCGAGGACCACTCAAACACCATCAAAGTTTTTCCCAAAAAACGCCACTGACCCAAACCACCCCCTACCAGACTAGTGGACTCCCACCCCCGGCTATTATCGATTCAACCATTTCAGCTACCTAGACAGGCGCTGTCGTCGTCCTCCGAGTGCCCAGAGCCCGCAGCTTGAAACGGCGCCTCCAAGCAGCCCAAACCCTGGACCCTAGCCAACCATACTGAACATGAGCCATATCTTGCTCTCGCATCGCATGTGTCGAGACACCCAGCCGAGAATCCATTTCTTTCGTTTTTTTTTCCCACTTGTATGAAACTGTTCAATCGTTCCTGCTCCAAACTCTCGCTTCTTCTATCACGCTCGCTCTTGGCCTTTGCCTGTTGTTTCTTTCCAACTGACGTTCGCTGTTCCATTCTTCCGCCTTCACGCTCCTAACGAACACCCTCTCTTCCTTTCTCTAACAGACGCCTCCGACCCAACTTCTGTCAAGATCTTGAATATAAAATTTTTTTTTGGAAAGAGATATTGGGGAAAAAAAAAAGGGAGCTGCACCGGTGCCGTTTGACTGCCACTCAACCATCGTTTGGGTACAACGTATTCGGGCGCCATCATGTGGAGGCCGTCGACAGTGGCATTGGCCTCTCTGGCCCTTCTTCCATCTGTGCTGGGAACAGATATCTTAAAAACAAATGGCTTCTCCAATTGCAACAATGGGACGTCGACAATCAAGGTCAATAATGTGGATATCTCCTTTGACCGGTCAACGAACAAGGTCAACTTTGATGTCTCAGGTTCCAGCACAAAACAACAGTTTGTCACGGCCGAGCTGATTGTGACCGCCTATGGCATCAACGTGTACAATAACTCTTTTGACCCCTGTGCCGATGACACCAAAGTCGATCAGTTGTGTCCTGGTAGGTGAAACCGATTCTATAGCACGTCAGTTGCAAAAGATACTAATGCTCGCCCAGTACCCGCAGGAACATTTGCGGCCAACGGATCGCAAGTCATTCCTTCAGAGTACACCTCACTCATTCCTTCAATCGCCTATTCTCTCCCGGATCTCGATGGCACCGCTCAGATGGTTCTCAAGGCCAAGGACGGACAAGAGCTGGCTTGCATTCAATCTGGTGTTTCTAATGGCAAAACCACGGATGTACCCGCCGTCTCGTACGTCGCCGCGGCCATTGCTGCTGGTGCTTTGGCCGTTTCACTGATCGGCGCGGCTGCCTCTGGAGCTCATCCCGGCACAACTTCATCCAGTCCTGGCTTTTTTGAGGTCATGTGGTGGTTCCAGGGGATGGCTATGAACGGCATGCACTCGGTCAATTACCCCGGGGTGTACCGCAGCTTTGCAAAGAACTTTGCTTTCAGCACTGGTCTCATCTCCTGGGGTGGGCTGCAGAAGTCAATCGACTCCTTCAGAGCACACACTGGAGGCAATTTGACCGATAACAGCTATGATTACCTCAGAAATGCCACTCTGGTCTTCCCCGATGGCTCTACCACGTCAACAACGACCGGCATCGCAAAGCGATCAGTTTCATTGGTGCTTCGTCAAATAACCACTTCCGTGAACGATACCAGCGCGGACTCCGGCGAGAGCAATTCCAAGGAATCACACCTAGTCAAGGGAATTCAGGGATATGTTGAGCAGCTCACGATTCCCGAGGCCAACACGTTCATGACGGTTCTCCTGATCTTTGTAATTGTGGTTGCTGCCATTGTGGTTGGCATTCTTCTTTTCAAGGTCATTCTCGAGGCATGGTCGCTTTTCGGCAGATTCCCCAAGTCTCTGACCACCTTCCGCAAGGAATATTGGCGTATCATGGCTCAGACAATTACCAACTTGATTTTCCTGCTGTACGGTGTCTGGACCCTGTATTGCATATACCAATTCACCCATGGCGACTCGTGGGCGGCAAAGCTTCTTGCGGGTATCACTTTGGGCACGTTCACGGCCCTCCTGGCCTTCTACACCTGGAAGATCTGGAGCGTGGTCCGAAAATTGAAGAAAATTGAAGGCGACGCAAGTGCCTTGTTCGAAAACAAGGAAACATGGAAGAAGTACAAGCTTTTCTACGAAAACTACAAGAAGGGATACTGGTGGCTCTTTATCCCAGCCATTGTTTACATGTTTGCCAAAGGCTGTGTTCTGGCTGCAGGTGATGGGCATGGCTTGGTTCAAACCATTGGCCAATTGGCCATTGAAGCTCTCATGCTCATTCTGCTCCTATGGAGTCGACCGTACCAGCGCAAGTCGGGAAACTGGATCAATATCATCATTCAGATCGTCCGTGTCATGTCGGTGGTTTGTATCTTGATTTTTGTGGAGGAGCTGGGAATCGCGCAAACCACGAAAACCATCACCGGCGTCGTCTTGATTGTGGTGCAGTCTGCTCTGACCGCCATCCTTTCATTCCTGATTGTCATCAATAGCATCATCACCTGCTGCCGAGAGAATCCTCATCGGAAACGCCGCAAGGCTGCACAGAAGAACATTTCCCAGGACCTCGAAGGCGATGCTTTCCTCATGCAGCCAAAGCCATACAATGGTTCACCTGCCCGTCACAGTCGCATGATGTCTGAGTCTGGACAAAGTTACGAACCCATACGCGCTCATGCTTACTCTCGTTTCGGACCCCGAGGAGATGAAAGCGAAGAGACGTTGGTCAAGGGGGCTGCAGGTATGGGGGCAAGCAGCTACCGCAGTGTCAGCCAAGGGAGGAGCGACCACAGCGGGAGCCCTCCTCCTTTCTCGCGGGAACCGAGACTCCCTGATCTTGCCTTTGAACAATATCGTCACAAATAAAGGGGGAAATGAGGTGTGAGGTTGTCTACTTTACAATTTCGTACAGCGTACTGTTGCATACCGGGGGTGATTTCCAAAAGCATAGCGTGGGTCGAACATTGGACACGACACGAATCAATTTTGGCATTGAAATGCCATGATGATATTTTTAGACAGATATACCGTATTAATACTACAGATTGCACATACTCACCAACCTGTCTAGTGCTCAGACATGTATCCTCAGACAGTTCAACCTCGTTAGTCAAAAGACAACGTTGTGGTGAGGTTCGAAGCGCATCCGGCTCCAACGTGGTTGGACAGGATGCCGTGTAAGAGGCCCTGGGCGGGATCCTTCTACGTTCAGCCTTGTCATCCCTTTGCAAGGCTGTGCCCACCCAGGTCCCATAGAAACCATTCACCTTTAGTATATACCTATTGTCCTCAATTCCTGTCACACAAAGACCGCCTGCTACGACCAGGGCGATTCCCGAGTCCGAACGAACCACGATTCCTCCACCCAGTCCAGGCCCTGTCAGGTTGAACTAACACCGGGTTAGCAGGCATCAGGGCCTCGATTTGAACTGAACCGACGACATAATCTGGGCCTTGTCAGGACAAACTAACAATAAAGGGTCAGCAGGTGGCAGGACCCTGATTCAACTCCTGCACCGATCGAAATTTCAACTGTATAGAAATTTGTAGTATAACCGGCCGAGAAAAACAACCCCGAAAGGGGGCGAGTTTCGCTTCATCACAGACCAGAGGTTGACTGTTCTGTGTTAAATTTTGCACTGTTTGAGGCCCAATATCAATCACATGGTTATACATAGTACCGTGGCCAATATTGTCAAATGTTTCGGAAGGCGGGACGCCCAGTCGGCAGCGCGCTTGGTTGTCAAGCCTACGAGGGTTGTGCCTCGTTCTGGTCTGTCCCCTAACAAACCAAAGTCAACTTTGAAGCCTCTACAAACCACAGAGAGCAACTGACCTGGGTCATGGTAACCTAGGAAACGGGATTTGTATTATTGGTCCAACCTAGGAAATTCGTCCTTCGTTTGAGCATTGTCCGGTTCCCGTCATCATCTTTCGGCCCACTGCTTCGGAGGGGTGTGAAGCTACCTGTTCCGAGCGGCCAGGCCTTGTGCTCGTGTCTTCTCAATTGACTCGGCAATCAGCGGGCATGGAGCTGAGGTCTTCAGTGCATGATGCGCCATTCTGAGATCCCTCAGACGTTGCCAGCGTCATCAGGAGGCGGGCCGATGGTTGGGAGTTGGGTCGTGAACGCTGAAACGGGCGAAGGGGAACGTGGGAGTTGAGTCTCCGACTTTCCGCCGAGTTTATGTACGTACAGCCAAATATAGGACGCTTCCTCAACTTCTTTACAACACCAATGCATCCTTCCATCAACGCCTTAAGAGTCTCATGAGAATTAATTTGACTGACAACATGATTATAAGCCGCCTTAAACAGAGCTGAGGACGAATATGACCGCGATCAGCCGGCTGCACCTCCTGTTCTCTAGGACGGGGCACGGCATGGGTCGCAGAGACCGAAACAGAAAATCGACCCTGCTCTTTGTGACAAGCAGATTGGCCAGCTGAACGTCCATTAGTCAAGCTGTCGACTTGGATAAAGGAAGAAGATGGTCGCGGCCCCCTTATCGAACCCGACATTCGTCAAATGTTTGGGAGAGAAAGAGAAACAAAGAATGTGGTCGACTGGCAGGCAACAAGGAATTCGAATTCGATTGCCATGCTGCCCTTTTATGTCTCTCACACCCGACCCGGATGCCCGAGAAGCGAGTACATCTCCTGAACTCCGGCAAAATATTGAGAGTCTACATTCATTGCTACCAGATATCGAACCGTCCCAGAAGATACAACGCCCGCGAAAGCCAGCTCTACGCCAACTTGCCGACGCGACCACGCTTGCACTAGGCGTCCCAGACATTCTTGTTCCTCCTGTGACAGATTGAGCGGACCACGACCTCATCCTCCAGCTACTTGATTGTCCTCTATCCGTCACTCGCAATATGGCGCCTACTACTCGACAAATCAATAAAAGGCAGAGAGAAGCCGCCATCGGTTTGTTTTCTTTTTCTTTTTTTCCCTCACGCCTTAACCGCCTACACTGACTACTCTAAGGGAGCCGTTCAAAGGGTGCCCCTAAGAGTAACAGCCTTGGTTCTCCTCCCAAGAATCTGCAGTCACGGCAACTACGCTCTTATACTAGAGTCGCCCCCCGGGGTTCTACCTCGCTTGACGCTATAAAGGACCCCCTACATCTTCCCAAAAGCCGGTCGCTAGCCCGGAGTCCAGCGCCCAAAAGCAGAGGTCCACTGTCGAAACCAAGCACTCGCAAAAATGACCACACAAAGATTCGCCATTCGCATCACTACATATCCCGACCTCTGAGGAGCTAGTTAGCACATTATAGGTTAAGGGAGACGGGCAATCAGGCGATTTCGAAGGAGGGCGCTCAAAGAACCGACGGCCACCGCACCTGCCAAAACTTCAACTCTCTAAAGCGAATCTACAGACGCTTCAAAAACAACTGAATATGTCTGGCGAGATGAGCGTTGTGTCCACACCTCGAAGTAGAAAGTGAAAAACCTCCAAGAAATCGCTAGCAAACCCTTCGAACTCGACTCAAGAACTTACGACTATGAGCTGATTGACGACTGGCACACACGGGAGCTATCGGGTCAAACCTCTTCGTCTTGCCAGAATCTTTATTCACAATGCAGCTCCCTCGAGAGAAATCCGATCCAAGCTGAACAACGTCTCTACCACGAAATATCCGAAGAAAGGAAGACTGAGATCTCTGGCCTAGCGGTGAATATATCCGAAAGATTCCGCAGCGCTCTTCGAGTGGACGCGAGGGAAGATGACTTGGTAGAGCCGATAATGCAGGCTCTCGAAAGAATGGATAAGGAAAATGTCTTGGCTTTTCGGGGAAAGGCTGGTAAGGTTCTCCCTTGGGCCTGGCGTGTACATCATTCTGTGCTAATCTGAACTCTGGACTTCATCGCGAATCTAAAGCCCGATTTTCAGCCAAATGCACCAGGTCTGGGACTTCTGTGTCAAGTCAATGATGAGGCAGATGGCGCCGTCGATCAGTCTAGCAGGCGACAAAAGGCAAGCGACGGGATTCCTCTCCCCGAAGTTAAATTATCTTCTTTGGCCTTAGCTACAACTCTAAGGGCAAACCATCCCGCACTGCCAAAAATCCTCGTCCTGGTATGACGATCGGTCTCGACGACTCGGCGATACATAACTCATTGTGGAATCGGGGGGCCAGCAAGTCTAAGGCGTCGGACTTCCTAGAAGCCTCGCAAGACGATCACATACTTCTATCCGACCCCATACAGAGCGACCTAAAAGTCCGCTTTCCAATTCTATTGCTTGAAGGTCAAGGGTTTGCTGCGGGAACAAATATTTACACGGCAGAGAATCAAACCGCTGTGGCTGGAAGTTGCATGGTCAATCTTCTCCAACGACTAACCGATCCCTACAATGAGATCGTCCCCAAGGGAGAACCCAAGAAGATCGGACCTCTCGCCTTTTCCGTATGTACGCAGGGAACCTTGATCGAATTTTATGTCCACTACTCAGTGGAGGAGGAGAACATTACCCACTACCACATGAAGCTCTTGATGGTAGTTCACGCATCCTTTCCCAACGGGGTACGCAAGTTCCTTCTCATGGTGGAAAAGTTTTTCAGCTGGTGAAAGAACGAGTTTTTGGACGAGTTGGTGGGATCAGCTGGTCGCTCTACACTATCGTATTGTTCGTTGACACCCTTCCCATTGGGACCTCCTCAATCCAAAGGTCAGGAGGACAGACAGCGCCGCATCGTTCCCGGCATTATGCGTGAACCACTTCACTCGTTCGCTCGTTTGGGTAGTATGTCCTTTCCTTGGGACATGAGCGCTTTGTTGGGACATCAAAGGGGAAAGGCTCTACCACAGCTGTTGGTCTCTATGCGTGCCTGCCTGTCTACCTGTCTGCCTGATGTAACTCTTTCTAGTCTGTGGAGTGAAAGGGCTTTGTTTGAGATTTAATTGGAACGGAGAGAGAGGAGGCAGATTTAGATGCTCCATCGGACTGAATTTCCGTTTCTCTCAAACCTCTGTTCTTACAGCAGCAACAACCAGCCGATGGTCGCGGCGAGCGAAGCACTCAGCACCAGGCGCACGTTCCGCGATATGCTATTAGGAGCCGAAAGCCCACTGGGCCCACTATTACTACTGGCGCTCTCGCCCTCGCTGAAGCCATCCCTCGCGCCGCCCAAATACTCGGCGCCCAGCTCAGTCAATCTGCCGCGTCGGTCGAACAGACTGACGGCGTCGCCGGTCCACTCGTTGGCGTCGTCGCTCCGAAAGGCCCCGAACCAGGCGTACCGCGCCACAGACCCCAGCCCGTCCAGGTACGCGAGGGACTCGTTCAGGAAGGACATTGTCTGGTCGGCCGGCGCCGAGGGGATCGCGAACTCAGTCACCCAGATCGGTTTCGCCGGGTGCAAGGCGTGAAGTGTGCCCAGCCACGAGGCCAGCCCCGCAAAGTCGCCGTACCAGTGCGCGGCGACGAAGTCGGCGGCGCAGCCGCCGTGCGGCCGCAGCTTGAAGCACGACGTGTTGAACGAGCGCAGCCAGTCCAGGCCGCGTGGCGAGCCGGTTGTCGCGGGTAGGGAGATTTGCAGGTTGTACGGCGCGTCGCGCAGCGGCAGGATACTGTCGATGTAGACCTGCGCGGCGTGCTCGGGCGACGAGTTGGTCCCGCCGGACGAGGCGTCGCCGTCCGGCTCGTTGAAGGTGAGGACGTGCTCGATTCTGTTCCCCCCGGAAGTGCCCCTCGCAATGGGAATCCCCGCGCTGCCGTTCAGGACGGCCTTGATGGTCTCGACCGACGCCGCGGCGTCGCTGGCCGAGTGCACCATGGGCACGAACTCCCCGCTCCATTGCACCAGCGAGCCCGCAGGCCCCGGCCACGGACTATAGTTGTAGTACCACGTCAACGGCGAGTTGAGCGTGGTGAAGATGCGCGAGTCCGATTGTGAGTGGTCGGTCGAGATGTAGCAGAGGCCGCGTTTGGGGAAGGTCGAGTTCGTTACTGCTGATGACGCGTGAGAGAGTTCGACGACGAGGCCCGATATTGTTGTTGCTATTATCTGCAAATGGTGTTTCATGTTGTACCGGGATAATGTGGACTCCGAAGGTCGTGACTCGGTCTGTCTGCCCTCTGTGTGTGGACGAGGCTGAGATGGAATAGGAGGCTGACTGCCTGCTTGTCCTCTGGTGTACAACAATCTATACCCCGGATTTCGTCCTACACTGCTGCGTCTTGCGTTGAGATTCTGTTTTTCAATGACAATATGAATAAGGGCTTCGACTATAGATGGTATGTAGCGAGTATCTCAGAAATCTGGGGTATAGAACTGTATATTACCCTCTATCGCCGATTTTAATAGCAGAGGAGATGGAAGGGGGTGCAGGAAAAACTTGCTTTCAATCCCATGAAGTCGGACTATGTAGGACAACAACAGGCAGGATCACGCGGAAGTAAAGACTAGGAAATAATATACCAGTTGCTTGGCCAGTTAGTAAGATGTACATCCATTCAACAACCGTCCGAGCAAGCGCAGCAGCGGGGGTACTTATCCAACATGTAGGGAGGCTGCTTGATTGGACTGAGCGTTGATCGCCCAGAGCTTGCGCCACCTCTGTCGTTACGTGGCTGTCCCCTTTTGGGGACTTGGGAGCCTCTCTGTCAAGTCTTGAGCTCGCGCAAGGCAGACGATCATCATAGCCGCATACGTGCAAGAAGACAAAGATCCCTGAACCTTGGTTGGGGATATACAAACAACAAGATTGACGTCATGGATCGAGAGGATGGCACCACCGCGCGTAGCGTATGGACACAACGACGATCCGCACAGCCACAAAGCCACAATCTTTTATATTCTTGTTGGTGCCGATACTCTTGGAGCGCTTTTCCGCCCGAAGAGATAGCCATCTATTGACAAGCTCCCACGACCGCCCATCCCTGACCACTCAACACCTGGCCTCGATCCATGCCTCCATGTTTTGCTGACAGACGAACTCCGAAATGCGAAGACACATGGTCTTACAGTCTTTTCTCGTTCCCAGATAGATCGATCCCTAAAGTTCTACAGGCCCCACCCACACTGATCTTCTCTAGAAACAAATCTAGAAGCAAAACACTTGGTCTTCGAGTTTACTGACCGGTCTAGCCTTTTGGTATCCGAGACTTTCTGTGGCTTTCTTCAATGCGCTGACCATAGGTGGAGGACCGCAGATCAGGATTTTGATATCGGATGACGGGGGTGGGAGTTTGGCCTTGATCATATCTGCAGTCACAAAGCCGACTCCGCCCTCCCATTTCTCAGGCGGGTTGTTCAGGACATAATAGACGGTGAAGTCGGGGTCTGCCTTGTCTAGCTCGTCAAGCTGCTCCTTCAGCAGAATATCATCCGGGTTGACGTTGGCAAAAATTAGATCCACCTTCGTGGTGTCGTTCCCTCCGTTTCGGGGCCGACCGCGGTTGATGGCGCGGATGATTTGCAGCATGGGTGTGATGCCTGTTCCGCCCGCAATCATGCCGATGCGTCTGCACATGTTCGGAGTGTACACCATCGCTCCCTTGGGACCACGGACCTTCATGGTATCCCCAACTTTCAAGGTGGTCATATGAGCACTGATGTTGCCCTGAGGGTATGCTTTGATCATGAGTTCAAAGAAGCCTTTGTCCTCATCGGAAGAGATAGGGGTATATGACCGGACCACCTCTTTATCAGCACCTTTGGGGGTTGCTGCCAACGACATGTGCTGGCCGATGGGGAGACCGAGAATGTCCGTGGGTCGGGGAAGATCAAATCGGTAGATGGCGACATTGTGGGAGGTTTTGGTGATTTTCGTCAGGGGGAATTCCTGGAAGACGTCGGGCTTCAGGATTTTCCTTGACGATGCTGCAATTGAGAAGTGTCAGTCCGGATCTTGTCCGGCTTTGGCCCTCACACCACTTACGAGTCAGGCCAGTGAAGATCTTGTAGCCTCCCACAATGGCAGCGAGTGCGACCGCGTAAGGGACATATTCCCGCTTGACAATGGCGACCCCAACGATCAGCAGCACCGAGGGGATATACACGCCATTGATGTTGGCCTGCGAAAAGACTGCGTTTCTGGGAGATGAGGTGAGCGTTGAGGAAACGTTGAGGAGGGTTCCAACGGTACCTACCCCATGGCTCGAAGAGATGAGACAGTGCTGTTTCTTGCCGGTCTCCTTCAAACACCGAAATCCACCTCAAGCAGCAGAGACGACCAAAGGGGGAATGCGAACCGTGGGAAAAGAATTGTTTGTGGTCGGGGTCAAAAATATATCGGAATTGGGGAAGTTCTGGGCCTGGGATTGTTTCGGCAGGCACTGCGGTGAGCAGTGCTGGACGTGGGGCTCGTTCGAGGTAGTGGCCAGTTCAGCCAGAGTCCCGGGGATGATTCTTCGGACCCAGCTCGCTATTAGGGGCGGTGCCATTGACTGCATATGGTGACAAAGTGCGGGGCGGTTCCGACGAACAAGCCCTATGCTGCCCATGGGCATTTAATTAAGGGAGTCTGACAGAGCCAGAAAGCCAGAAAGCCAGTGGTACCACTTCTTCCCACATAATTTTTGTTCTGGGCTTCGATTCGCCCTGGGGAAACCGTTTTGTCAGACCGTGTCATTTTCTCCTCAACTCCCAGTAACCCTCGCCGAGCAGCGGAAGGGGAACGTCTTCGGGTCTGTTCGTAGCTTCATCTGCACCTCAATATTACCGGCGCTCCATCTTAGGTCAACTGATCCGGGTGAAAGACTACCCTCCATGGAACCACTTGCCCGCCGAGCAGGACCTTTCCCCTTTGCAGACGGCATTCGAGCAAACAAGCCATGGCTACAGACCCCCCCGACAATACCCCATCCCCGTTCCCGCTCACGGCTGTGGACCAGTGTGTCCTGGCCATGACCGATGACCAATTCCACCCACATACATGGGAAGACCTCAAACAGATCATTGGTGTGTGCTTCTGGGCTCGTTCTTCCCGCACATGGTGCCTTTGGGGGGGATTTCGGTCAATGCTCGAGTATTTTTCTAACCGCTTTCCGCAGCTGAACACAACCTCAGCGTCCTCAAAAGGTGGCCTTCCGACCTGAAACGCTACATTAAATGGTCAAGCGAAACGAAAGCCGCCTATGGCAGCGTCCCCAATTTTGTCATGACAGAACGACTGAAATGGGCCCCTTTACTGTCGTCAACCCCAGAAACGGGACCAAGATTTGCCGTGAAGAATCCTGTCCCTTTCGCCGACAAAGCCGACTACAAGATTCTGGTCAATGACTGGCCGTATGGATTGGCGCCCGGCATTAGACATATTATCGTCTGGCTCAAGACCAGATTGGAGTCAGAGCCTACCAGAGGCGACATGACGCCAAAGTCGAGGCGGCAAGTCGAGGACTTCGTTCAGTCTACATTTGTGGACCGAGTCCGGGAATTGCCAGGCAAGTACGAAAAGGTTATGTGGTTCAAGAACTGGACGGCGTTGCAATCCGTGCCGGGAATGGAGCATGTCCATGTTTTGGTCAGAGACGTCCCGGACGATATCATCGCAGAGTGGACAGGTGGAGACCAACCTTTAAACAACTAGACTATAGAGCACAAAAGGAGGCCCAGGTCCAGGAT